TCTTTTAGGATTCTGAAGCATTGTAGCTTGAGATGGGAGAATGCTCCATTTCCCATATCCCACTGCTATAAAAATTTGAGGAATCAACCCATGGCTCTCCAGAGTGATGAAGTATTGCCCTGTGGGGTTGATGTCCACCCTTGCCCCCTCAGTTTGTATGTGCATGGGCCTGGGTATCCCTGTGCAGGGGCACAGCCTGCCTTTTTGTGTGTGCCTGGGCACTTGTGTGCGTGCAGGGAGGTCCTCAGACTGTGGTGCATTTCTGGGAACAGCCCCACACTGCCATGCTGGCTGTGGTGCTACCTCCCAGGGCCACGTTGCTTGGGGGTGGCCATGTTCCAGTTTCTGCTCAGCCACTTATGGCCTTCATAAAATTTAAGAGATGGAGGTTCTGACCTCCACAGCCCAAAGCACTCAATACAAGACAGTATGTAGGTGGGGAATATATCTGCTTTTAAGTTTAGGAAAAGTTTTTGTTTTGATGGAAAAGTTTTCTTGTTTGAAATAAGTGGAGGTAGGCTAGGAAGAATTTTGTTATGGGTAACTTTCTTTGAAAATCTTTGAAAGTGGGTACCCCACTGTCTGGTTAACCCTGACCTAGGACATCATGGAGAAGAGGCTGTGTGGATGCAGACGGCCACGGTGTCTCGTTGGTCTTTGAGAAAATCTCCAGCGGGGTCTGGGGTGGCAGCCAGGTCTGTGGTGAGGCCAGACATTTCAGCTGTACTGTGGGAAAGGCCTCTTGTCTGGGCCTCTTGCCCCAGAAGAGATGATCTGCTTGGAGTTGCTGTTGTCATGCATTATTTCTTCCTGGCAAGTAAAATAGGACCGGTTTGTTGCATCTGCTTTGAAGAGGGCCTTCATTTCTATTTTGGGAACAGAAAACTGCTGCAAGTAAGCCAGACAGCCGACAGACGGTGTCTGGCTTGGGGATCTCTTCTTCCTTCCGGCCGCTTAGTGTCTGATGGGGGTTGCCCAGAGCTGCCCTCCCTTGTCTGTGTATTCCTCAGTTTTGAAAGACAGTGATGAACTGATTGTGGGTGCTTTGCTAAGAAACAACTTGTCACATATGGGCCAGTTGTTGCCAGGCAGCTGGGCCGTGGCCAGTGTGTGACTGTCCATAGTTAGCTTTGTGGAGTGGGGTCTGTGTCTGGGCCTGGTCTCTGTTGGGAGACTGCTGGCAGGACCTCCTTGCCTGTGAACCCTCCCCCGGCCTAGCTCAGAGAGAGAGAGCACATACTGCTGTATGCATGTTGGCTGCAGAAGCACACCTCTGCTTAGTTTTTCTTGGCACCAGTTCATTCTGGAATAATTCAGCCCTACTAGAGAAAGATATCAAAACAGAAATTGGGGCATTTATGATTTGAATGAAAGTACACATTTTAGGTGGTGAGAGTATACCTGATCCAGAAGTCCATGCACATTACTGCATCTATACTGGGAGTGGGTCCATCCCAAAAGGACTCTGGGAGGCCTTACCCATTTCTGAGAAATGGCCCAAAGCAAGCATAATTTTGATAAATAGACCTCTGTTTCTTTTTCTATAACTCTGAATAAGAGTACATTACCAGCGCTGTTGTGTTTTTTCTACCCCAACTTATAATTTCCATGAAATGGCTTTCTTCTTATCCCCAGGCTTCTTGGGGTTTTAGATGGTTTCACATTATAGGACCCAGTCACTAGCTGGAGCTAGTCCTGTGTCAGAAGGGAAGAAGCATGAGGCCAGGGTTTTCAGTCAATCACTGTCCTGAAAAGACTTTATCTTAAAGAGGAAGTGAGAATGTTGTGGAGGTTGAGAAATGCTGTGGAGGTTGAGAAATGCTGTGGAGGTAAGAAATCACTTACCTTCATGATTTCTCCATTTCCTCTCTCCCATGGATCCCCTGGATTGTCAGTCAAGGGAGGTTCTTTTGATGTCGTTTTTTGGGAGTTCTCACACTCTGCCTCTTCCTGCTCTGTCTCACCAGCTTAGATTTCATGAACTTTAGCCATTGAACCTACAGTGCTGTATTCTGGAAAAGTGTCAGGAACAGCTCTCAGGAGAAGGCTCAGCAGGCTCAACAAGGCTATACTTTCTGACTCTGGAAAGCCAAGTGTGTGGATTCCTTGAGTGTACAAAGCGGTGGGCACTGGTGAATGGGGAATCTGCTGGCCCTTTTGTTATTGATATTCCTCTGTGTCTTTTTCTTGAGTGAATCGTCTTCTGAAGACTTGATTTTTTTAGTGGGGCATAAAATTATATAACATTGTCTTCTTTTTTTGAAGCACAGGCCCAGGTATTGAGCTGTGTTTTATGAGATTATGGAAAAGGGGTGCTTAATAGAACTGAGGAGGTACCAGGTCAGGTCCTGATCCAGGCTTCTTTCTTCCTTTGCCCTCAGAAGAGTGTGCTCAGTGACCCTTCTAGTTTCCTGGGTCATTGGCTGTTTTCCCACATATGGGTGGAGCTAAGAAAGTTAAAATTATCCTGAGGAGTGGAGGTGAGTTTATTAAAATTCTGTACTTTCTGTGTCACGGAACTGATGTTTTTAGTTTTTCTTGGCTTGAGTGGGAGAACTCTGTTGCCTCAGAGGCTAAGCAGGAGGGCGTGAAATGAGATAATGTTCAAGTTTACTGAATGATTTATGAGGGAGTGGGAATATATAATAAGTTCTGAATATAGATTTCAAGAGACTGTGACAATTTTTTGTAATGAATGAAGTTTTATTTTGTATTCTCTTATTTAAGTGATTTAAATATTTAAAAATTTCTATTAATTAAAACCAGTCCTTTAAAAGTCTAAAATACACACAAATTTCTTTGTAGTAAAAAAAATAATTTATATCTTAAGGATAACAGAAACTGAATATATACAGTCAACTGATATTTTAAACAGAACTTAAGTAAAATCTTACTTAGGAGAGTTAAAAATCATCAGTTTAAGAATAAAAATCTTAAAAATAATTTTTGTGATATATTTGTCAGGCAGTTACATTATATTTGTGCTTCATTTGACCTACTCAGGTTTTTCTATTTTGGTTGGGAATGAATTATTGACATGAATGGAAAATTGAAAACAAGGCACAAATTCTAACATTGACACTTTTTTTTGTGGATGTTTTTGTTTTTAATCATCAGTTGTTAGCTAAATGCAAGAGAAGTGTCAAGAATATTAAGTAAACAGCTTAAAAATTGACTTGGGTTACAAGTAAAATATGCAAATGCCCAGCAATGGAAAAATGGCTCCTTCATCATTTGGATATAACTTGGAGCTAAGTTTCTTTTTCTTTTGATATATTAATTTTGAGGCTCTGAGCTCTGCTCTGAAGGCTTGCACATGTTCTGTTGCTTCAGTGTTATAGTAACTAGAGATTAGCAAATCATATTTTTTTTCAATTTGGCTCATTTTAAAAAATGGTGTGTGCTTCCTCTCTCCCCACCCCCAAGTATGTTATACATACTCTGAAAATTCTTGGGCATGCCAAGATGAGGATCATGTGTTTCATGCTCACAAGGAGGTCATAGCTGAGTAGGAGAAATGAACTTTCACTTATAGATGAGATTAAGCAGATAGGGAGGATTGTCTGATATACTTACATGTGCATTTAGTATAAACATATATAATTTATATATCTCCCTATTTAATCACTAAATTAGATTTATTTCCTATTGATAAATGAAAATTATTACAGACGAATACATTAAAACAGTACTCACCAATTATGCCAATTTCCATGGGTCAGGAGTCTACGCTTTAGCTGGCCCTCTGCTCAGTATCTTAAAGGGATGTGGTCAAGTTGTTACCTTGTCACTGTTCTCACCTGGATGTGTGAGTGAGGCATAAGCTTGACCCTCGTAGGTCACTGTAGAATTCCACCCCACAGCACATTCACTGGCCTCGGTTCCTCAGATATCTGAACATTGATTTGAGAAAGACTGATAAGAACAGTCCTAATTAAGGAATGAAAGTTATGATTTAGACAAATTAGAGGTGGATTGTTTTTTTCTCTTAGTAAGTAGAAAATAGGAAGAGAAAGGAGTTTTTGTAGGTTCGCAATGTTGATAGGAATGAGTTATATAAAACCAGCCCTGTGTTTGAGTGGCTCTGCACAGGCCTCTCAGAGGGTCTTCTGGCTAGACACAATCATTTTTTAGTGTTGTATTTCTTAGCGTTGACCAGTCATTCAGGAGTGAAATGGTAGGAGCGGGCTTTGAGGGCCTAGTCGTTTGGAGAGCACACTGCAGCCCATAAGCTAGACAGGTGGTGGCTTACTCAACCTTGGACAAGAGTGAGAACTTACACATGGTGGACTGGGTACTGAGATGTGCCGGTGGTGTTTGGGGCAAAACTTGACTGAGTTTGCCTGTAACTGCTTATGAAGTCCCAGATGTTCACTTGCTTCAATAGGGGATGGTTTGATGCATGCAGGCTGTGCTCAACAAGTTGGGATGAGGATGCTGATGACAGATTGTATGAATTGGAACTGGACAATGTCTGGAACACCAAACAGGGTGGAGGTATGAAGACAGTTTGGCAGATGGGATCACATAGGCTGTCATCTAGTGGGGTTTTCACTACACTCCCACAAGATATGCATGTATTTCATGAGAGGAAAAGGAACTGTTGGACCTGCTCCCTTCACAGCCTTAGTTTGGCTGTGGCTAAAAGAGAAAACAAAAACAAACCAACAGTCCTAGTAAGGACACTGTCCATTCGTTTATGGTCTCTCATGGAACAAAAGGACTATATATTTGGAGGAACAAGTTGCCAGAGAGTTGATATGATTTCTTTTGCAGTTTAATCACATCCTTTCTCCCAGACTTTTTGCTGTACTTTTCTTTTCCTGCTCTTTATACTTGAGGCTTTTCTTTGTATTCTTATTTTATTCACTTTGGTATTTGAACCTTTGTTGTGACTGTCCTCCATTTTTTTTTTTTTTTTTTTGTAGTTTGGGGACCAGAATGGTGAAGTAAGAGAAACCAGGAAATGGGTCACTGAAATTCTTTATTTTTCCTTTTAGCAATTCAAGCTCTACATTTGTAACATTAATTTGCTGTCTCCGGATTGGACCATTCTCAAGAACTGACATTAACTTTCCTACAACATAAAAGGTGAGTAGAACTTAAGACTGATGGTTGTGATGTAAAATTTGTCATGCCTTTCACCATCCAGAAGTGGTGGTTCTCCCACAAAAATTAGAACGGTTTCTTGGGTGCCAAACTATCTTTCAGTTTAGTTTTTTTTTTTTTCTGATAGGAAAGTTGCATGAGTTAAGTGGGACTTTTTTTTTAATACAGGGCTTTATTCACAGTGGATCATGAATGTACATATACATGTTCTACATTTAGTAGAATGCCTGGAGAAAAATAATCTATTTTACTTGTATTTATTGCTGAGTCTGAGCACTTAATGCCCAGATAATTAGCACATTTGGATCAATGAGAAATGTGATTCCTTATTTTTCTTTCTAAGTTCTTTGCTTTGCTTGGTTTTCTGGTTTATAAAATGAGAGTAATAATGGGATTGCTGTGAGAAATAAATGAGCCACTCTAGTTAATGTAGTGACTGGCATGTAGCACGCACCAGCTAACATGCTAGATAAGTGTAAGTTTCTGTCTCTCAGCTATTGTGATGTAAAGTGTGCACATTTTTCTTTCTACATTTTGGTAGCATATATATAATGTATACTAAGCAGTGGGGGTCGACCTATTAATTTGCTGCATTTGGTTTTACATATGTACCTGTATATTTCTGTTTGGGGGAGTTGGGTGTGGACTGAATAGGCCTTAGGGTATCTGGAAATAGAAGATTAAATGCCATCTCTGTGTTTGGGTCCCCTCTGGACATCCTGAGACTTAAAAACCTGATGCAGAGCCAGCCCGCATAAGGAATCATCATAAAGATGCTGGGAAGGTACCGGGAGCCTCCTCTCCTGCCTCAGCTTACCCACTACAAGCATCTCACCTTAGGCATACCTCTGTACCTCTATGTTGTCAAATCTTAAGTGATTTTAGTGATTCCTGACCTAATTGCCAGACTGTGGGAGATGTCATACATATGAGAGTCTTCTGGAAAGTAAGAAATCTATAAAATACAAGATGCAGTATTTTCTTAAATTTTTAGACTGTAACCAGGTATGACTCATTGTTTATGCCAGACTGTAACAGAAATGTGAGCTTTATGTGGGCAACAGTAACCCTTCTTCCCTTCTGCTTACTTTTTTATCCAGACCCTAAAACAGTCCCTGGAATACAGGAAGAGTTCAGTAGATCTTTTGTCAAATGAGACGAGTTGTTGAAGAGGGCTCTCCTGGAGGCCCTCTCTGATCATCTCCATGCCTTTTAATTTATCATTGCTGTTTCAGTTAGGTGAAGTAGTTGGAGAATCAAGAAATTTAATATGCTCCCTCACTGAATCATGCAGACTTCTAACTTTAAATGGACTTTTTGCTTTGGAACCGTCCTACTGTTGTTAGTGCTAGGCATGCAGTGTGTGACAAGCCAAGCTTAGCTAGCAAGGAGTGCGGTGCCTACATTGTGGAGTGTGTGTGGTTCATGTGTTTCTATCCTGAGTAGATGTCACTGTCTGGTGGCTGAAAACTTGTAGTCCACTTGATGGACTCTTCTGGGGAGACGGAATGGTGTTACAGAGGAGGCACAGGCTGCATGTCTGATAGGTACTCAGTGCCTGCCAACATATGTTTCATTCATGTGATTCTCTATTACTTGACAAGAGAACATGATGTGGGGCCTCCCTAGTGTTGCAGAGGTTGAAGTCTCAGCACTATCAAGTGATCACCAGCCGCCCCAGCCAGAGAGCTAATCCAATTTTTTTTAAATTAAAGATTTATTTATTTATGCATACTGAACATGCCAGAGGTTCAGGGGTGGTGAGAGCATTCACCAGAGACAGAGCGGGGAGCAGAACAGGCAGACTGACAAAGTACACTGCTAAGGGGAGCAGCAAGTGAGACAGGAGAGGTCTGCCGCTCCATGTGGGTCACCTCCCTGGCAGAGTATCAAACGCCTGCTGAAGCAGCCACGGAGAGCTTCATAGTGCTGCTCTTTAACCCATTGTACCACCAGGAAGGGCCCCTAACACACAGTTAATGGCACAGCAGACCTATCCTGTCTCACTCCCTTCAGCAGTGTATTTCAGTATATCGGTCTGTTTCTGCTCCCCACTCTGTCTCTGGAGAATCTTCTAACTCCTTATACCTCGGGCCTACACCCCAGTTCTTGTATGCATAAATAAATAAAAATAAATCGTAAAAAAAAAAATAAAGCGTTTATTTACAATTGGAAAGAAATGGAAACAACTCAAATGCCCAAAAGCAGATGACTGGATTAAAAAGATGTGGTACATATACACAATGGAATATTACTCAGCAACCAAAAAAGATAAAAACATGCCTTTTGCAGCAACATGTATGGTGCTAGAAAAGATCATGCTTAGTAAAATAAGCCAGAAAGAAAAGGAAAAATACTGGATGGTTTTTTAAACCATACTGCTATGGTTTTACTCATAGCAGGAGTATAAAGGACCAGGCAAGAATATAATAATAACAATGAGCAAGTATATACAAGAGACATTTTACGGGGGTGGAGTAGGGAATGGGATTAAAAGAGTTGTGGGGAGGGAAGTACACTGGACTGTGGTAATGGAACACAGGTGATTTGGTGATGGGAAGCCCACGGGGATTACAACTGAGGTGGAAAAATAGCACAAAATGATGTAAAAATAAGCTATTATATTACTTAAAAAAAAATTAAGCACATGATGGGTGAACATCCCTATCCTCCCTGGCTGGCTGATTATTGGTGAGTTCCACTAATTTTCTTCCATAATTTGGCACTTCCTTGAATTGGGAGGTGGTAACTCATCTCTACTGGGGCCAAGAGAAGGTGGGACAGCTTAGTTTCTCTTTCATCACCTCATTCATATTGAGTTGTTTTGGCTTTGTTCACCAAAAATGAAACTGTTTTGAAGTAGAATTTTATTGGGTAACTAAAAACACCACTGAACCATGCCAGTAAGAACTGTGCATCTTGATGTATAAAATACTGACAAAATTACATGTAACTCTAGCAAATTATATAAGTGCCTGATTTCTTCTACGGATGGGCATATCTCATCCTATTAGCTATTTTAAGCAACTTTCAAAGTTGTCAGTGGAAAACGTTTTCTTGACTACATTACTGTATATGGATACAAATTAAATACAAAGTTGTGTCAGTCTTGAATGTCAGGGCAGTTAAAGTCAGATCTTTGTCCACAGACTGCATGTAACTTTCTTTGTACATTTTGTTTCCCAGCTCATACTTGAATTCAGTGTTGTAAGACTTTTGCACTTCTAAACAAGAGTATTACAGCTGACTCTCCTGGAATTTATATTTCCTCTGTTACCTATAAAGTTTCCCTCTTAAAACTCATGCCTGGACTAGGAGATGGTGCTGGTAAGATGGACAGGTAGCATTCTGCCATCCTCTGCTTCCTGAGAGTGTGCCTACTTACTGTGTGTGGCGATTTCTGAACTTGGTTTCAGAGTGGCACTGGGTACCCAGATTTAGTGCGGGGGGGTGAGAGGACTCACAAGAGAGTGGGGAAAAGAACAGTCACATCTACTGAAATATATTGCTGAGGGTTGCAGCAGGCGTGACATGAGAGGTCTGCTGCGCCATGGGTGTTACCTCCCTGGTGGGTGGGATGGAACTCCTGCTGCATCTATCTTGAGAGCACTGTCTTTAACCCTTGCACCAGCAGGGAGTCCCAGCTTTTCTTTTTTTTAAATGGAAGAGTATTAATCCTGTAGAATTATTGTGAAAATGCCAAATTCAGCATTTGATGCACAGTAGAGCTATATAAATGATTGGCTCTTATTTTCATCCAAATGCTAGGTCTTACCAAGGACCATGTACTGACCAAGTCAGAGGGAGAGGAGCAGAGGCTTGGGTCTGTCTCTCTGTCCTCTCTTAGGATGATGGGGGTTTGCTAAGGGACTTCATGAGACACCTTGCTAGAGCCAGGTGGTGGGCCTCTGGTGATTCTTGAGCACAAGGCTTCTGGGATGTGCAAAAAGGCATCATCAAGTCCAAGGCATATTTGTCTAATTTCCTGTCTTCGTGAGAGAAGGAAACCAAGATTTAGAGCTGACTGGCTCAGAAGGGGGAAAGTCCCACCTACAATTTTGGTTTCTTCTGATGTCCTAAGGGAATCTCAGGTGAACCGTGAGGATTTGGGAGCCATGTGATAGCTTGAGGTGTGTGGTACCAGGGAGGAGATGCTATAACAGTTGAAAAAATAACTAGATACAGGTTATATACCCCCAGCCTAAGCTGAGGCTGTAAATTCTGGACTGCAGTGGGCTGGGGTCAGCCAGAGGCTGCACTGAAATATCACATCCTGTGGGGAGTCAAGTATTGGTGGCAGGAGTCTCTGTGGCCTTCTGGTGTCATTAGGGGAGTGACTACAAGGCTCCCCATGGGGGGGTCTAGGGCTGGATCCCAGGTAGACTGGTTCTTGATGCCTTGTGGCTTCTGAAAGGGTTACTGGGTTCTTTCTTCTTCATGCAGACTTCCACCTCTGTTTCCTCTCATTTTCTCCTCTTCGTCCTTACTTCCTGCCCACTCCAAGGCTGTAAACTCAAGTCAGGAAACTCAAGTCAGCTACATCTCGCTACTTTCCCCTTATTTTTCAATGTTAAGGTTTAAAGTGGCAGTGAGGAAAATTGAAATTTGGCCTGGCTACCAGCAATGCTCTGTGCCATGTTTGACAGATTGAATTAAAAGAGCCAAAAAACAAAAGATCCAGCAATGTAAAGAGAAAGGCCAGGAAGCAAGAATGTTGCTTTTAGAGGCTGGGAATAGAAACTTGTGACCACTGTCATTTCTCTCTGTAGCCTGGGACGTTGGGATTTCTCTATAATGGATCCTGTCATTACATTATTAGGTTGTATTATTTTCTTATTAAGTAGACATTCAGAGCTATATCATAGAAACACCTTTATGTTTTGCTTTAAACTCAAAACATGCTAGCAGCTTTGTCAGTTGCTATCTAGCACAATAGCATCACACTGTTAAAAAGCAAATTTCCCACCTAAAATTTTGTGGGG